CTACTAACGTAGTTCGATTAGTAGTAGCGGCTTCTTTTCCCTTGTTCTTATTTCGCGGATTCTACGGGTAGTTGTATCCTAGTTCCTATTTATTACTATAGTAGATATAGAGGTTTTTATTAAATCGTTCCTTCTATTAGTCGGTCTACTTATTATTAGCTTTTCGGTTACCTTTTCCTTTCTTACTCTTATTCTTATTGTCCCGGGATGAGCTATCTAATTCTATAGCGTTACCTCCTTCTTAGGTATGCCTCGGCCTTAGGGATCGGGACGTATTAGCTTGTTTATCCTAGCTACGTTATAAGCGGCGTCGGTCTAATATAGTAGTAAGTTAGATTATTTTAGTAAGATTCTCGGGCTCCTTATAGTAGGTTATTACTTCCTAAATTTCGTCTTTTAATCCTTAGGCGTAGAACGTTCTAAGCGTATAGTCGGTATAGTATCTAGCTACGTATACTACGTTCTAGAAGTCTATAGTATATTCTAATACCGATTTTTTCTATTTTAGGGTCTAAAGCGTTCTCGTAGCTTTACGGGTTTTATCGATATCCGCGAAAGCCTCTTTAAGATATTTAACGAAAGTTCGATAGTCGTTAAAGACTTTCTAGGTTCGATCGGTCCGTTCCTATAGTTGCTTTTCCTAACGTTCTCTTTTTATTAGGCGGAACTATTTCTCCGCTACGCCGCGTAGATAGGTGCTAGCGTATAGGACTTTTTCTTCGTCGTCGGTAAATTATCTGCGTAAGAAGTAGAGGTAGTCGTCTAACTAGGTTAGGAAATTCTGGGTCTTGTGCCGGTCTCTATAGTAGAGATTAGGCTTCGGGACCTTAGCGTAGGACGTAGCCGGTATAGCTGTAGGTAGCGTAGTAACGGGTATAGGCGTAGGTTAGGCCGGTTAGGCTTCTTATAGTAGAGCCGCCGGGTTTGTAGCTTCTTACGCTAGGGGTCCCGTCTACGGAGCTTGCCCCTAATTAATACGGGCTCGGAGGCGTGCGTTCTCCTATATCTAATTATTTAGTTGCGACTAGAGGTTAGCTATCTATCCCTGTATACCTTATATTATAGCGAAGATATCGTCTAAGGTTGTAGGGTTTCTCTGCTACTACTATTGCTACTCCTAGGGAATACTACTACCGTCGTTTATTTCGACTATCGATATCTTATCCTGTCTAGGTTAGATAGGGCGGGGTGATACTTTACTAATTAATCTTAACTCGGAATTAAATCCTCCTTCCTTCTTATAAGGATAGTAGTTAAAGTGTAACGAGGCCTCTTTAGCCTAGGCGTTAGAATTACCTAGCGGGTGAATAGGTTCGAAGGGTTTACCTTAAAGGATAAGAAGTATAGGAAGTTAAGAGATAAGTTACGTAAAGGATCGGGTATAGGCGTATTACTATTAAACTATAAGTATAGACTAATACTTTAAGTTAACTACAAAGGTCCTATCTACTACTAGAGAGTATAGCTTAAATATATATTATAACTTAGATTAAAGGAAATATTAGATTAATCTATTTACTAGATTAATCCGAAGGTTAGATTAATCTAAGGGGGTTAATCTAGTATAGGTCCGTTACGTAACTTCTATACTACTTTTCTAACGACCGCTTTTCTACAACCTAATAGATACCTTTTATCTCGTAAAGCGGGCGCGATAAGTTCCTTACCCTTAATCGCTCTATAGGTTTACTATCGGCTTGCTACTTCCGCCCTTATAGATAGTAATCTCCTATAGGCTTTATCTTCTTAGTCGACTAAGTCCCTACGGGGTATATTCCCGTATAGGCTTTCTAGGGTTGTAGTCTTAGTTCCCTTACGGCCTTATCTAGTACGTATCTACTAGTACCTTACGGGACGCGGGCCCTTATAGTTACTAAGCCCTTATAGTCTCTAGGCCCGTATAGGCCTTCTTCCTATAAGGTCTTTCTAACCCTACGGGTTAACTTCCTTTACGGTCTATAATAGCTATATAGAGGAGGGTAGGGATAACCTCCGGGTATAAGATATATAGGTAGACTTAGAAGAGCGGTACTAGATACTAAGAGGAGTCTATACGGTTCTTAGCGAAGAATACTAAAAGTTTTTTCCCGTAATATAGAGCTAGATCTAGGGGAGAATTCCTGCTACTACGTAATAACTAAGGTCTACGGTCTAGTATAACTCGGTAGGAGAGGTAAGCTAGAGGTTCTACGTCGAATAGAGGTACTTTTAGGGTCGTAGGAGCGCTATTAGTAGCGATTCCTTTTATCGAAAAGGCGTATATATACCTAGGAGGTATTTTCTAGAGCTTTTACTTACGTAGCGAGGATAGACTTTAAGTAGTCTATTTTTTCTATCTTTATATAATCTCTAAAGATAGAGAGGAGATCGAGAAGGCTCTCTATCTTATTAGTATCTGTGAAGCTAGGCGCGAGGAATTAGACGCCGCTTGTCCTCCTAGATTACTGCTACCTTTAGAGGTATATATGCTGCTATCTAAAAGAA